ACATAAAAACAGGCACGCACGTGACACACAAATAAATACTGTTCAGCACAGTGCTCATAAACCACATTTTTTAAGGACTTCTAAAAAACTTCCTCTAAATGTTGCCATCTCTCATCCTTTGCTGCTGAGGCTCTTTTTTTCTGACATAGGCACACAGTTTAAGACATACTGCCTCTTTGTGTGCATGTCTCCTGCCTCCCAACGCTGTTTTGAACCCTGTTTCACTCTGACAGGAATTATACGTACATATGCTAACAGGGCTAATTCCCCAAGGCAGCGTCGCATTTTATGACACCAGAGGCAGAAGGTTGATTTGGCTGGATGGCTTGTGCATGTGCTATGGCACGCATAAACCAACAGACACACGCTCACATACAGCAGTCCTCATTTCTCACACATTCAGCTTGCAAATAATACCAAGAATGTTTCCATTTGGATTTTTTTAAATACATTTTTTCTGCAAAATAAAAGATTAAAACTTTCTAGACTTTAAATCAAATTCCCTTCAAGGAAAATAACAGGAATGGACATAATGTGGATCCATCATGTAGTGTAAATTGAATTGGGTCCTGCTACATTAAAAAGATGGAGGCGAGTACATGAAAGGGAGGAAGCAGACACAAGGCATCCACTTTACGCACATATGGTTGTGTTCAAAGTGGATGTCCTTGAGGTTTCAATGCTTGTGCTGCCTAGTGTTACTGTACCTGCGTTATTTTGAAACTCACCATCTCCACACTTAGAGATTTGAAGCAAAAGGCAAGATGAACCATACTGAGCTATTGAGACTGCACAATCGGGATACAAAACTGCTCTGTAGGTGTTGTTGTGTAAAAGGACACAGTAAGAAGACCTCAGGATGTGTTTGATCAATTTGCTTGTTGTAAAATCTACTGTGAACCGAAACTGCTTTTAGATTTGTTGAACCAGCCATTTTTACCACATTGCTTTGTTTCAGGCGCATAGAATCCATAGCTGCCAGTGAAAAAAGCACTATAAATTACTACTGTATAGCTTACATGGTACACAAGTCACTTAAAATATTATGCCCTATGATTGTCTTCCAACAAATAAACTTGTATGGACTGTAAAAATATGTTTGTGGGTTGTCTGAATCATCAGATAAGTCAATCACCATATCTACAGTATCATCAGCCCCTAGTATTGAGTTAATATTCTGGCTCTGCAACCATTACTAAAAACTAACTATGAATATAGGCGCTACATCATGTTCTGTGTGATTGCATTGGTTACATTGAGACTCTGCAATCATTGTTCAGTTCAGACAAATGAATTACAACATGCCTACCTGTGCCAAAAGTATATGCCATATATCAATACTGTAATTCTCTCCATTATCTGAAGCGGCAATCTGCTTATTTTGACAGATACCAATCGTATTATACCTGACAAGGACACACAGACAAAACACACACATATCATTTTGCAAATCAAAAAGCCAACAATAGTGTCCCCCCCTCATTAATGCATGTACAGAGGCATATGCAACTTGTGTAAGAGTTCAGATAATTAGTAGACACACTTCTCTCTCTGTCAGCGGACCCCTTTCTCCTTCCCCTTCTGTTCTCTCTTTGCCTTTCCTCTCTCTCCATACCTTTCTGGCTGGCCCTCCTTCTTGAAGTACGAGGCTCTTTTGTTGATTTTCAGAGCAGCAATTTGGCCCCAGCAAGGGGCAGAGGCAAGTAAGATTCTGCTTTGATGACTCTAAATGGAGAGATTATCCAAATGAAAGGCAATTATCCAAACCCCACCCACCCCTTTACCCTTCACTATCTCTCAGCCTCTTTATTCAACCCAATGCTCATGCTCCACCATCTCAGGCTATTCATCATATTCACCACTTGATTCCACCTGTACTCTTTTTTCTTCTCCTTCTCTTCTCCTTCGACATAATATTTTCCCCCCTTCATCATCTCAACCTTTTATTTTCCTTTCTCTTTACATCCTATGTCCCCTCACCTGTCAAAACACATTATTTACTCTACTCTTTTATTCTTGTCCCTTTTCCCATTCCTGCTGATTCTCTTTATACGTATTATTCTCTCCTCTCTTCTCAAGAGAGCCACTAACTGAACTGGTCACTTAGGCCCTTAAAGAAAGGGAACACTGATAAACATCCTATTTCTATTTTGAGGTTAGCAACAACGCATATTGGTTATACACAATCTGAACATGTTTCTGAAAGCAAAAGCTAACACTGGCCAGATAATGTTTACCCAATTGAAAAGCGCTTCCATAAAGTATAACTATGTTGGGTGAAGCGTACAACAGGCAATGTGTCTTGTTGGCTAAGTCTTTTAAGCCAAATGTCTTTGTTATAGTGAGTTCAAATTCATTCCATGACCTTTGCTGCATGAGTTGTCGCACTGCCTCCCCCTTGTCTTTGCTGTCACTCACCACTGTGTTCACTCTAATGAAGCAGAAAAGTCAGAAGCTTTACAATACACCAGACAGAAACTGCTGGAGTTATCCTCAGTCTGGCTCCCAGCAGCTGATAGACAGTGAATAATGGGGACTGGCGTACCGACACACACACATAGACACACACAAAAACTAACCTCCCTGACTGTCACAACAGAGTCAGCACAGAACAGAGGGAGAATCTCCAGTTACGGGGTCACTGTCTCATTTTTTTTTTCATCTATCGCTCTCTCTATCCATCGTCCGTCTCAGTGTCTTTCAGTCTGTACATCTCTCACTCATCTCTTTTCCCCCACCCGCCCCTTTCTCCCTCTATCAAAAATGCATTTATAATGACATGACACCTTTATAATAATCTTTTGTTTTCATTCCAATGTTCCAGCACACCAGAGATCTGAAGTGTGAGTTTCATGCTGTGTTCTTTCCACAGCCTCTGCCAGTCAGCCAACTTTTTTGGCTGTGTTCCTTTTGGCACCAGAATGGGATGTGTTTACCTCATAACCAAGCTAGGGCAGGATTTCCCAAAGGTAAAATAAAACCAAAAACACCTCAGTGCTGTTGTGAATCACTAAACAAAGGTGATGTGCACACTGTTCCTACTGAGGATCTATAACCTGACCATAAGACTAAACTTAGCCGCTAATGGGTACAGAGCTCATTTGTTTTCCGTACACCAATGGGCAGCTATGATTTCAGAATCTTTTGAGAAACAGAAAGAGTGAAGATACCTGTGAGAACTGTATCTTCCAACAAGTCTCTTCAGCACCATGGACAGAGACAGCCTGCACTACACACACTACACCCAGCTTTGAAGCCAAATACATGAGGACAACATTAATTCTTCTAAACACGACAGCATTTAAAAAAATATCTCATAGGTCAAACAGTGAAGGGTGCATAAGAATGTGATATAAACAATCTTGTCTAATGCCTGATCTTGTTTTCCGAGCTGTCTGTCTGTTAATTCAATCTTTGCTCAATGTCACCCGAGGGGACCAATAATGCAACATATTTTTCTCTGCCTGTAATGCGACATGCCATGCGACCTCTTGTAGAGAGGATTTTGAGGGTGACATTACAGGTTTCAAATGCACACACAGACAAAGACACCCGCACACACATTCCTCATCCCTCTCTTTTGATGCAAAATGCCAGCTCCCTGAACCACAGGCACAATTCTCCACGCTCCTTTGGACTTCTGCTGTCAACTCTCTTGCCAGACGAGAAAACGGGCAACATCTATCATGAGCCACGAGATGACGTAATGTGGTTCACACCGCAGTAGGCGTTACAATAAGGTCAATAAGCAGTCTGCAGAAAATCAAATGCTCTCAATTCACTCTCTCATTGTTATATTCAATGTATATACCGTTAATGGAAAACATCTGTTAGTGTCCCAGAGCAACAAAGCATCTTAATGTTTAGAGGCATGCCAGCTGCCAACGAGCACACAAGTAAAGACTAACTGGAGATACGGAGTTTCTGCAGGACATTATAATATACTGATCATAAGCCCAGAAGATGACGTAATGTGTTTCTTGTAAAAGTTGTCATGCTAGACCTACTTTCAATATTTCTTGCTGCATCTTTTTGCAGAGCAACAGTGCCACTATGTGGCCATATTAGGGTACAGCAGGTTACATAAGATTTCAAAGGCCATGCATTACATCATATATCTATATCGTATAATCAAACTGGTATGGAAGCTCATGTTATGGTAATTCAGACATTGAAAGGCCAGGAAGCAGTATGAGAGGTGTCCTTAAGAAGGAGTATCTTATGAGCCACGCACTCATCTTCCTAATTGAATGCGCATGTGCAGCCACACATTTACACATATACCTACTTAGATTTTCACATTATCCTGGATTCATAAACAGCAACACACAGATAGTTTTAAACTCTTTCCCACTTTCAACAGCACATGTAGACAAGAAAATGGTGATTGGAATGATTAGGATAATGTTTAGAATAATGTTTAGATGAATACAAAATGCTACTTATAACTGTGGTAATATTTAACCCTTCTTTACTTTGGTAGCCTCTGGGTGCTGCTAGACACACATACTGTACACTCAACTGAACAACACACAATTAATGCATTATCCCCCAGCGACCCAGGAGGCCTGGAAATATTCCATCAAGGCATACCAATGAGACAGGAATAAAACAATGCATGAAAATGCATTAGTTTTTGTGAAACACATTAAATGTCTGAATCTAAGAAACAAGGTTTTTTTTATTTGGATCCAAATAGCATGTTTTAGCATGTAGGCCAACTTATAACTTATATTGTATATTAAAGTATAGATACAATTATTTTTTTCTTGTTTTTACTGCATCATTATAAAAATACTAGTTATTTTGTACCATTTTACACATATAGATATATATTGTTCTAATAATACTGATGTTTTTTTATACAGAAAACACACTAGCTTCAGTACTATCTCTCATGTCTTCTGACTTTGACTATGGTGCTGTTAAGCTCCAAAGCCACACTGTATTTGTCAGGCCTGTTTGGAATGAGCATACCATTCTGTTTGTTTTTGCATTACCATTGTCAGAGACGCCGAGGGTCATGCTTTGTCCACTTCTCTTCTTCCTGAGGGAGATGAGTCTGGCCTGAGAGATCTCTCTGACAATGGAGGACAGGTGCTCCTTACTGTTGTTACCATTGTAGCCCGGAGGAGAGGCCTTGGAGTCTCCATCACCACTATCACTGCTTCTGACTATAGACTTACTCTGGAAGAAATAGAAATCTAGTTCAGTTGATGAGAAATGTGTTGAAAAAATGACCAACAGTGCACGGCATATGATTATATACTAAAATGTACACATTATTTTGTCTCTAAACTGTCTGCTACTGTTTATCTAAAGTTTGCAACCTCCCATTTAGACATAAATGCGCAGTTTTAAGTTAAGACCAAATATTGTAAGGGATGGAGAAATGAGAACTGTGTAAACTTATTAAGTATTTAAACAACAATGTCAAATACATCCTTAAGACTGACAGGTTCTCAAGATCTTTCAACCATCTACCCATCCACTCAAAACAACTAAATGATACAGAAAATCAAAAACTGTCAGTTTTAGTTTGTGTATGTTCAAAAAGGGCTATTTCTAAAATAAAGGTTTGTTTATCTAATGCAAGCTTTTAATATGCAGAATTATTTCCAATTCTGGGATACTAAAAGAAAACTAAATAATAGTAATAATAAAAAGTAATTTATGCAAAAAGTGAGTAGAATTCTTACGTTTCCATTTTGCTTGGAGAATCTGTAGATAGGTGGTAGAGAGTAAGCTTTCATGCTGTAAATGAAACAGACATAAATCATTTTATTTTCATAAACAGTCTACATCATATGAAGTTATTGCCTTATGACACTAGTTCCAAACACAGGCATATGAAATTAAATTTGCCATGTCATTTTGGAAATCCCAATAGAAAGTTCACCTGAAAATGAAAAAATTGGAGGTTTATACACCGTTTGATATTTATTTATTATATTAATATAGGATGGAAAAGCCTGTTAATTAATGTGTGAAATGTTTTACACTACAGAGCTCTGTGCATGTGAAATGTATAATAGTACCGTTTCTTCTAAGTTTTTGATTCAAATAGCATGAACATTATTTTAACATGGCAGTAGGAAAGGCACCACTTCTATTCACAAGCAGCAAATCATCCATCTTTAAAATAATATTTGGTGCTAAGGGATGTAGGGTACAGGATATGTGAAAGCAGGAATTAGCCCTGGAGGAGTAATTAGTTTCCACACTTGAACACAAACACAAACTGAACGGTCTCCAAGAACCATCCCTGGTCGCCATAACATTCCATTTTAAGATTTCCACAACTTTTCATGACGGACTTGGGAATCTACATACTGAGGAATATTAAAAATGTGTATCATTGGTGAATGTTGTTGTTGTTGTAAAATGAATAACTTGCTTAATATAAATTAATTGTTTAAGTTTAGTTAGTATATATTGAGAAATAAGCACAATATGCACCTCTGCTGGTTTCATGTAGGATCTACTCACATGCAAAATTTGAAACTTACATATCAGTTTTTCAAGCTTTTCCTATCTGTACTGCAGGACAGATATGAGTATAGATAAGCAAGAAAATAAATTATTTTGCACTTGGCCGTGATATAAATACTATACTGTTATATACACTACTATAAACAATATTCTTTTAAATAATGACTTTCTGAATACATTCAAATATGATATCAAATAACTACAAATACAATTACAGATGTGTGGCTAATTGAATTACTTAGTAACTTTTCCTATTAGGTTATCTGTCTTCACAATATATTTAGTATCAGTATATTTCCAATATGCAGTGCTTACCCACTGACCCTCCTTGTCCCTCTGGGTTTAGTGAAGAGTAGGTCACTATAGGGCAGCTTCTTAAACCTTTCTCTTCCCACAGCCACATAAAGCTGGCCGCCTTCCAGCTGATTCCCATCAGTTACCTGGTGGCCTTCATAGGTGTACAAACTACAAAACAGACACAAAGTCAAAAGTCCCACAGCTTCCATCATGTGTTTGTACCCGCTTGTCAAAACAAGATGCACTTAAATTGCCCAATATCCTCCCATAATCATCATGTGGTAATTTATTGAGATAGTTGAAACATTAAATAAGCACATACAAGTACATACAGTTTTTATGTATCAACATAGTGAATATTCCTGTTCATATAACACCAGAGTTAAGATATGCCCATGTTAACATTGGTAATGTGAAGTAGTTTAAAGAAAATCTTTCTTTAATTTATATGCAAATGTATGCTGCTAGGTGCTGTGAAAATCTAATGAGATCATCTGCTCTAATGAAAGAACATGTGGTTTAACTCTGAAACTTCTGTGTATAGCTCTTAATTATTATTTTGTTAACAAGACAGAAATTATATCATAATGTATGGAAACAATACAGTCCATATGTAAATTTTAAGCTGTACCTTCTAACACCCCCCAGGACTTTCAAACCCATCTTCTCTGTGATCATCTCTAGTATTTTGTCGAACTGGCCAAGCATCCTCTGTTGGATCAGCAGCCTCATGGCGGGGTTCAAGACATCACCATTTGCTACCACACTAAGTGAAGAAAATACACAGGGTTGAGAGTTACATACGTATTATATATTATACTCAAATGAAGGGATAAACAAATATATATTCATGAGTGAATCTTGCTTTTGCAAAAACAAAACATGCAGCTGTCAAAACAGTGTAAAATAGTTCAAACTGAACTTACAATATTGTACATGGCTCCTTGATGGGTTTGAGGAATCGAGCTGACACAATAATTCGATTTGGTGGGAGTGGTCTGGCCTGGAAAAGAAGGAAAAAGAGTGAACTGAGTCAAAGGGTGTGTATGTGAAGCATACAGCTGCTCAAAGATTACTGAAGGATAAGTATGTAGGATTTAGTAGTTAGTTTCAACACATCACATACCCTCCCCTTCCAAGCGCAAAGGAGGAACTATAGTGGCTACAAAATGCATGGCAAATGCAGCCCTATCTGGAGCCAGTGTTTGGTTTGATAGTTCTGGACTAACTGTAGAAACATGCTGGTTCAACATAACAGCCTCCACAGAAGGCAACCTCTGATGTCAGTAGATATAAAAGAGTTATTCTGAGGTAATGAAAACACAAATAATCTTATTTGCATGTGATCATGCACTCATAAAAACATAGTTAACATATTATAAAGATTATCTGGCACACAAATACAGCTATTTTATTCTTTTTTATTTATTTATGGGTCCTAATAAGAGGGGCATATGACTGTTCTGAAAGCTTGTTAGCAGACTAGTGAATCCAGTTGGGATTTAGGGACAGCCCTTGTTTCCCAGCGGAGACTCAGAACAACAGACATGTACAAACTTTAGGGACTTTTGCTTTGGGGACCAACGCTTATACTGGAGTCCAGATGGTAAGGACAACATTTAAGCTAACTCCAGCTCCTAAATATAGCTGCCCATGTCAGAGCAGTCATCAAAGCTAATACAGTACATGCTCCAGAGTTAGACCTGCTTGGAGAATCAGAGCCACCAAGAGTGGCAAAAGCTTGATGTAGCGCAATGTGTTTATATTAGACAATAATGTGTTTATTAATTTAGAAATCCATCAACTTTTTAAATTGTTGTTATGCTTTCTTCTCCTTTTGCTGTGAGAAATTTCAGCAAATGGTACAAAAAACAAGATTGTATCACATCAAAACCTTTTACCCCTAAAGCCAAAGAGAAAGAGCTATTGTGCACACTAAAAGAATCTGACTCATCTCTGCGACAGCAAAAGAATGAGCCCCTGGTAATCCTTTGAGGTTGTGAGGTTGTGAGGTTGTGAGGTTGCAAAGAGTGAGCAATGCAGGTCATATCCCATAACACCTGGTAACCCGCTGTGACTCTAAGACTAAGATTTGGATCCTGTGAGAGAGAGAGGGAGAGATAAGGGAGGGGGTATATTAAAGGTCTTCTGGGGTCTGTTAGTGCATCCTGGCAACAGAGATGTGCAGGCCTGAAGTAGAATTAAAAAACTTCATAAACCAAGGTGTGGGACACATTCAGAGGTACTGACTGCACAAAATACCATAGAGATGCTCTTACAACGCAGAAGATCATTAAACTTTAAACGGCATTTAATTTTACATATTTGCTGAAATAATCAAATTTCCCGAAAACGCTGCTTGTTAAGAGCATGCAACTGCACTTTCATTTTAACCATTACACTTTTATGTGAACACACAAACCACAGAGACTACTTTACACCACATAGCTAGTAACCACCGCAAGCCGGGAACAAACAGACACCAGCAAGTCGAGGCATGGATCAGTCACTAGGGAGCTATTAGAAGTACTAGATTTGTTTTTCTATTGACATTAGATCATTTTAATCATTTCAGTATCCATGCACATATTTAGCCAGGCAAACAGCATCCCTTTGCACTGTTAGTGCTTTGATTACACAGATTTAATAAGCAAAATGATGAAACCTACAGTAAAGCAGATACCTTCAACGGAAAACCAGGACCAAGGAAATACTACATCTCACACTTGCTTGATTCCGTCTAGAGAGCACAGATATTAGATGTAGTTAAATGAATAAGCAAGGTCAGTACTTATTCATGATTTTGTGTATAACTAGGTACATCTTGTCTGGTGGGTGACCAATGTTCATCTCACTTAAACACTCCACCGGCATACTCACATCACTGTTTACTGAAACGAGCATGTTTGAGCACTACTTGAAGTGGGTACTCTCAAACCCATCCAATCAAGCATGAAGCATTTCTTATAATAGCAAAGACCATTATCAAAGTGTGGATCCTGAGCTGTGGTCAAAATAAGCCACATACTGAATGGTACATCTGAGGAAGCAACCTTCTTAAGTCCTTCCTATAACGCTCCGGAATCAATAAGGACAAGAACAAACTTGCCAACCATCCAGCAAGCTAAGAGTTCTCATCATTAATCGACACAATCAGGCAGGTTAAGTGGGGTAGTGATGGGGAAGCAGGGTCCTCATGAACTAAATTGGCTCATTTTATGCTTGCCACGTAATCACAGCGGCAACAACAAGCCCTTGAGGTTATCTGTGATGAATGTGCTCCTTGCTAGCGGGTGATAAGACAAAATCAAGAACACAGAGAGTAGCTCCTGATTCTCTTTATATTATTAACATGTTACAGTGGACAAGCAGGGCACACACAACCAAAACTTCTGAGGGTCTGGCCAGGTACAGAAGTCAAAGAAAAAAATGGGCTGCACGCTTGTAATGCAGTATACCCTGACAAAGGTCTTGTGTGACCCATTGTTTTCTCTGAATAGAATGAGCATGTCAAAACTTTGTACCTGTTTTTTTGCCATATTGTCCCCATAATAACATGAATGGAGTTAATATGGCTTGGTATTGAGTGCCAGTACACATATCTGTGCCTTAGCTCATTTTTGGAAAGAGGACCTTCAGCTGACTTTCAAAGTAGATGAGCTTGTGGGCTGCCTGACTTTAAGCTGCTCTTGTTTTGGCTGTGACTTCATAGCTGGTGATTAAAGATGCATTGAAAGGAGGGATGATTATGATCCATAAATCAATAATGCATGGCCACTGAGACGACAACAAAGTGATTCTTCACAGAGAACAATAGAGAAGAATGCTAAACATTACACCTTGCTTAAATGATCTTTCTAAAACCTTAACACTGTGGGTGGGGACGGGAGTGCAGAGGTGATGTTCCCAAATCCTCATGTATCTTGCATTTAGTGTCCGTTTCAGATGTTGAAAAGTTGGACTGAGTGAGGATAATGTAACTGAAACTCTGCCCCTATGTCGAAAACATAGCCGGTGAAGGGTTTCCATGTGGCTTACAAAGAAAAACAAAAAAATAAAAACATCTCAAACATGTTCAGTGTCTGGAGTCTGGAGAGTTCTGGCACGGAGAGTTCCACAGTGCATGAGTGACAAAATGAAGAAGTAAAAGACACGAAGGTGGAGTGGAACCTGAGGATCTAATCTGGCAAGGGCATGTGACGATGCACCACACCCCACGCCTGTCTGGATGATTGACATCGATATGTAAATTATGTAAACAGGTTCCATCTCTGCAGATTGTGTTTATATGATGCCAAGGATTATACAGATTTGGAATCCCAGGCTACAGCTATTTAGCAGCTGTACCTTCATGAAGTGACACAGTAAAATGGAAACTTTCTGATTATATGTTTCCTTGTTACACTTAGAAACATTTCACAAGTAATAGTGATTGATATTTGATCTGGATGAATTCATCTGTACAAAGCTGGGGTCAAGTCTAAAAGCAAATACACACATGAACACATTGCAATTAGCTACAGCTACTGTACTACTTTACTTTTTTTTTACCTGCATAGGAAGAGTCTGCATCATCCTCTTCCTTCTTGAGCCAATATGTTGGTAACTATAGACAAAACATAAAGTGAAACAAAGAGGTAAAAGAGTAATTATGTAACAAGCACAAACTAAAAAGTGTTTCATCAATTAGGGATGTGAATGCCCTGGCAAGTTAACTTATAGGAAGACATATCCTTTAACTTGGGTTTTGTTAGCTGTGCTGCCATAACACAGCTAAAGTAATATCTACCTTTTGTCTAAGCACAAGTAATTTAAAGCAGAACGCAGTGTGTGTACTGTAGCTACTTATTATGCAAAATAAGTGCAAACATATTTACTGTCCATAAATGGTTAATTGATGAATGTATTTATCATCTCTTGCATTAGAACTGATTTTTACACAATTCCTCCGGGTATTGAAGCAACAATGTGGTACGCAGTTCATTATATATTCTATCTTTTGATCGATACAACTTTCCCAGACAATTTAAAAATACCATTGTCAAGGAGCATGGTAACAGTTTACAAATTTTGTGGCGCTAGAAAACCTTCACCACAGCATCCTATGAATAACTTGCAGCATAAATCTAATTATATGCAGTATAAGTCCACTTTATTTTTAGGCAAGGGCAAAGCATGCTTCTCTAGAGTGCTGATCTAATTCTACCTCATGCTGTGACTCAGCTCTGGTGTAAAACTGTTGAGTCACATAAACTTTAAGAACATGACTCAGTGAACAGGCCTGATGCCCAGTGACTAAATGTATGTATCTATAGAGTGGCTGTCTGACTGTGGAACCCAGTTAGTGTGTGCAGTGTATCTCAGCTGAGATTTAAATCACTTACTATTAACAGTAATTAACTGCAGGCAATAGGCTACTAGTAGATGTGTTAACCCTTGCATGTAATACACCTGTATTTACGCATATGTAGTATTCTTAGTCAATGTGAGAGAACAGTTGGAAAGTATTTATTATGATGCCTAACGTTAGTTTAGTCTTACTCCAGCCTTTTGAATCGCTCCCTCCCAGCAGCGACGTACTGCTCCCCGCTCTGCAGGCTCTCCAAGCAGTCCACCTTGTGGCCTCCTCTCGGCGTGTAGATGTTTCTCACCGCTCCAAACGGGGCTTGTATCCCGCCGGTCACCTCTCTCAACAGAGTCTCAAAGTTGGACACCCTCTTTTGGTTTATCACAATGCGGCGAGCCTCGTAGTAAGGATCACCGTTTCGGAACATGAAAATGTTCTTCACAACGGGCTGTGAGAGAAAGTTCGGCTTCTCCGAGCTCATCGTTACGCGTAAAAGCAGGCTGGCGCGCGACGGAGGGATATCTTTAGTTATAATAAACTGGCAACTAGTTGATCCCAATCGCTAGAAAAAAAGTTATAGGCCATTACAATGACATTAGAGCTGGTCCATCCTGGCCAAATGTTTAGGGTTGAGTGGAGTTGTACGCGGCACGCAGGTCTTCGAGAAGGTCAGCAGTTTGGATACGAAGACGTTTAGGGCAAACGGAGGAGTTTACTGAATAGAAATATAACCACATGCATGGAACTGTTGATGTGTCCCGGCATCTATCCCCAAGTTTGAGCAGAATTTCACTCAGCTACAGAGGGAAACGGTGCAGAGTCATTCGCTTCGTGTGCACCGCTACGCAGCAGGTGATGGTAAAAGCCTAAACGGGTGTCTGTAGTTTCCCCACGATGTAGGCTGGGCATCATGGGAGCTCATCTGTTGGGATGTATCTATGGGAACACGCCGCTGTTCTCTTACCGATTACCAGGGACATCACACGGCCGTAACCAACAGGTAGTCAATCATTAACTGATGAGAAAAAAAAAAACAGACCTAATTAACAATATGCACCGTGTCAGTGTGTAGGTAACATAATCGAAAACGCTCTGTGGGCAGGAAAAAAAAAAGAAAATAAAAGTCGACCAATGTGTGAGCCTTAGACGGTGAAACTCTCCAACAGCCATGTGAGAAAGTTAATTGGGCATCAGGAGACCAATTGGAAACCCGGGTTGCCGGTGACATCCCGAAAGGACAAAAAAACATGTTTGTTTTGTGTACCATATTTGTGTTGCACAACAACAGAGAGAGATCTGTTCTCTGTGTCCTTTTGCGCATTATTGTCAAGTGGCACACTTCCTGTTGCAGCAATTAAAAGCCAGATGAATCCGTAATGTCAGGACTAATAAGTTATTTTTCGACCAGTTTTCCTCAGTGGAAATGCGTGCAAATGTGTTCCCACTATATGACGCAATCAGATAGTATGATGTTTATTTATTTATACATGCCGTATAACAGCTGTGACATTAGCTGCCTCAGTTTGGTCAGCTGCTGTAGGTGCCAGAGGAAGAGCAACATCAGAGCAATCATGACCAAAACCTCTTCTTACCTCTTTCCCTCCTCCTTCACCTATAGCGGTCATGACCTCTTTCATTATCAGCAGCAATCAGCGGCACAATTACTGCTCCACTGGGGCGTGTTAGGCAGGGGGTGCCAACATACGGTCAGTCAGGGACACAATTCCCAAATAAATTTAAATATAGTATCCAAGTATAGTAATATGATCAAATGTAGGCCTAAATATACTAATTATAACGCTTTGGCTTGTTGTAACCTACAGCAGCTCTGCCAGCAGCCCCCAAAAGTGCACAGCTGCACCCCAGAGCCCACTGTTCAACATACTTACTGAGATGCGATTCTCTCTTGAGCCCACCTGATGGTGTTGGTTCACACTATGCAAGAATTAAAGGTTCAGCATGAGAGTATCTGCAGATAAATCATTTCTGAAGAACATACTAAAACATTTTTATTGTAAGCTGTATTGATAGCATATATAGGCTTCTACAAAATATACAAATACAATACAAATGAATAACTCCAAATCAGAACACAAAACAAACCAAGCCTATTATACAGACTAGAATAGCTGAGCAGTAAAAGGAAATGTGTCTACCATGTCTGACACAAGGATGTTTGCAACATTGAAGGCAAATGAGCTGGTTGAAATGTGTGGTTAGGTGGTGCTGCAGCAGCATCTTCTTGGGGGAATGTTCAGTAGCAAAGCCATGGTCATATGTTTGTCACTTATTTCCAGAATAAGGCGTTCTGTTTCTAAAAATGCATTATAGCAACAGATCTCTGTTAATTTAGATAGTGGAGAACAACAGGATTAAGGTTACTGCCCTACATGTCCTCAAAGCAAGCATAGCCTACATGCATTTTTATATTACTTTACATTATCTATGACGGTGTTTGCAATAAGTGGAGAATTTATTTGTGTCTCTCAAACAATTTCTGTATGGGACTTCCCTAGGGACAACTCTAAAATGATTAGGTGATTTTGATAACATGTCGAGTCCCTGAGTCAAAATCTAGTTTTAAGAGTTTTATTATTTAAGTTAATATCATGCTCTTTCCTAATAAAATTGTATTTATTCAAATGGCAACAACTTACACAAATTGCATGTCTCCAGCAAAGGAGGGCTGGTTGTTCTAGACTTATTTGGAACATTGATGCAAGTACATTGTGCAGAGGCTCTGCCCTGTAGGGTCAGTAGGGACCCAACAGCATTTTTTTTAGCCCTCCTAACAGGTTAAACAGGACTCAGTAAATGAACTTGCAGTTTACTACCAAACTTTTAGTGGAGAGGGATATAAAACATGGGGATGCAGTGGTTGTGTGTAAATCTGATCATACTTGTTCAGCAATTCTCATTTATCTTATGTAGACAGCTCACAATAATGGAAGTATCATTTGCTCTTGCCAAACTGAAGAAAGGCTTTAAGGTTGCTTTGGCAGTTTTTTATATGTTTTAAAGTGTGAATCTGTTTTGCATAGGGCTTTTCAACATCCCACTGTTTATGAGATATGAAAAAATATGTCAACATTTGTCTGCAGTTCATAAATTGACTGATAATTACCCTGTAGCTTGACAAACATTCTCCATTCATTGATTATTTAGCAAATATAAGCCAAAATTATGTGTTTTCTTCTTGGACTCAGGCACCTGGGGTGTTGCATGAACTTGTTGACTGTGTGATATGTGGAGGTGATAATTTGCCAAAATATTGTACCTGTAGTGACGTGTAATGCAGGTTTTGTGTCAGTAGGTGGTAGTGTACAACAAGGGAACAAGTCACACACTGACTCAACACACACACACACACAAACACACACACACACACAGGCAAGTGGGTCTCAAATGTGTTTGATGAGACCTTTTGGAGGACTTGATCAAAAGCCTGGCAACAGCACTTTGGACCACTTATAAGTGGTCTAGGGAAGTGTTGCTAAGGCAGGTGAAAAGGAAATAGCAATATTTCATACAGGGCGAAACAAACCTCTGAATAAGCATCTCTATCTCAGTTAGGGACATAAAGGTTTAGCAATGATCCTCCCACTGCTAGAAGCAGGAGCAAACAAAACAATTATATCACCCAGGACAACGCCTAGTAAGAACTTCTGTTTCGTCAGCATTCAGCTCAATTTTGTATAACTTTTCACAGTTTTGCGTTACTTTGAGGTTAAATCAAGATGTATAATTGAATACTGTCTGGAGAAATCTTTAAAATGACTTATGCTGGTGAAGTATCATGTAGCTACAATGCCAACAGAATCAAACCCAGGACAGAACTGTGGGAAGTTGATTAGGCAGTTTCTGAAAAACCCCTGTCTGAAAGGTAAGAGGAGAACCACTCCAAGGCTGATTCAGAGATTCCGAACCCAGAGCCCGAATCAAGATGCAGGTCCACACCAAAAGCCCCAATGAGATCCAGTACTACCGACAAATAACATTGTCTTCCATCACTGTGCACCAAGAGCTCATTTGAGACTCTGACATTCCCGACCATGGGCAAGGGGAAATCATTCAATGGAGTTGCAGGATACGACCATGCAAGGTTCACCAGACACTCCTTGCTTCTTTTTTCCGATGACTCCTTGTTCCAGAGCCATTTCAGTTTCACCTAAACACCAACCCTTTCCCCTCAACCTCCTGTGGTGCCTGCAGGAACTTCGGTGGTGGATTCAGAGCAATGATCCACCACTCTGATGTACACATCTGGAGTCTGGTGATCGTACATCCAAGCAAGTCTATTGTTAACCAAAAGAAGAACAAACAGAACAACACACAGGACAGGTAGGGAAAGACAAGACAGACGGGCAGTGGCAAAGCCAAACAGGCTCCATCATGCCAATCCTGTCTGTCAGTTTGGTCATCAGTACTGGAGAGATATTTCAGATAAAGCCACTGGTTGGTTCTTGATTGTGTGCATCCTTTTTGACAAAGCCAATATCATATAGTGCAGTGCAACTCTAAATAAGAAAATCACATTTCCTTCCACCTCTCCTTGTGTATATCCTTTCAGTTTCAACGTCAGTAGCAAGACATGAAATTATACATAATTGCTGTTGTTTATTGGATGTGATAATGGCACCTTTTAAACCCTATCCTCGCATGGCCAAAATTGCTTTGAAATTGTCCTATCTTGACAACATTTGGAAAACCACATAGCTAACATCTGTCAGAGCCCTATGTCAACAAATGGAGGAAATATGACATCAACAAACACACATTTAGATTGAATAAGGACCATCTTCCATGTCATATAAAATATACGAATAATGCCACATTGTTTATGATAAGAGTGACGCATCTTCGATTGAGTTCAAGTAAGTTGTATATCTTCACTCAAGTCTCTTCATGCTCTTAATGCTAATGTTTTTTGATATCTTATAGATAGATATATAGATAGTAATTCTGTTCCCAGCAGCAGTTTGTTTTAGGATACTGTAAGCATATCAAGCCAATTTAGTCACACAGGGACAAATGGTGCAGGGATTTTGCGCTTAGTCAGGGATGAAATACGTGGAAATGGCAAAGATGACACATTTTATCCACAAAGAATTTATTTCTGTCTTTTCCTCTATTAAGGCTCCAATAAATAACCCATAAAAAGTAACTACTGAACAAGACTATAATTACTGGACACTACACCCACATGCACAACAGGAGGTTGGTCTGTCCTGCCCTAAATAAATATCAAGAATGATGGTCAGGCCACCCGTTGATAAGAGATGTCAATATATCTGAAAGCTTTTTAGACAGTAATCATCCCCAAATGTTGTCTGCTGTGTATATCGGGTCCTCTGTCTGTGCGGATTGTCCCCATGACAGTATGGTTTGACTCTCTGGTTACTATAATGAACACTGCTGATTCAGGGTCATGCTGACCTATCTTGAAAATGCTCACAACAATTAGAGGTTATCTTCAGTATGCTGCAGTATGTTTCCCTTTTTGTGCTTTCTCTCTCTGGACATTATGCATATTGATCTGTTTGGAGATTAGATGACCAATGTCTCATTTGGGAATATTGAATGCACCATTATGATCAACTATTAATCCTTATTTATTCTTGGCAACACAAGCGTTAAAGAGGAACCGTGACATTTTTGCTACTAATGATGAAAACATTTTAAGACTGTTGTAGTAAGCATTTTCAACAATGATTGATAATAGTGTAAGTATAGTGATGGAATTACGTAATATGTCATTCAATTTAACAGTAATTGAGGGGGGAAAAGGGTTGTGTGTGTATATGCAGACCTGGTGCTATAATAAGGAATAGTGTACAATTATTGAGCAGTTTCAATTATCTGATTATAAATAATGACATTAATTTTTAACAAATACATCTCTGATTTGTTTCCCTTCTGGAATCAAGCTTCTTACAGTCACTAAAATGTTAGGATAGTGAGGAAATCTACTCTCCAGGACAAAGGACAAGTGGTAATTTTGCCTTGTTGGTTTAATGATGCAGCCAAAATAACAAGGATGCAGTTTTATAAAGTGCTGTATGTGTCTCTATCTGACCTTCTATAGCCACTGCAGTGGTAGAGAGAAAGGGATAAAAATGCATCACGGAGAATTTTAACTGAATCACAAAACAAAAGAAAGAGGGAAAGAAAGAAAAAGGCAAAACAAAGAGAGAGACATTTCAAATGTAATAATTTAATTAATTATACTTTATTTGACAGTACAAAACAAAGTCATACAGTCAGAAACACCACAAGGCACAGTACAGCAGCACAGGCATACAATTTGGGACATAATAAACCCTTCAGTGTGTTACATGTACCACAAGGTGAAAACAAGTCATTGCTGACCAGTCTGAAAAATGATGTATGGTTTCTGAATAAACAGAAAGAGTTCATGAGAAGAAAGTTTATATGGATTTTACATGTAATTCTCATAAAGATCCTTAAGGCTAATATGTATCAACTTCACAGTAACAAAGCAATAATCCATATATATATATACATATATAATCTTGTTGGTCTTGTTATTCAATATCATACAGTACAATACAATACAAGCCCCTCTACATTACATTTACTTACACAGATATATAACTTAAATTACTTCATATATTTCATTACACTCTATTTGTTTGCAGTTCAATAAAAAGCAGCTTTTTAAACAGTCTTGAAACACTGAATAAGATTCTGTAAACGGTAAAATTAAAGCTTTATGCTTTCTGGAAATGTGACAGTCATAGCTTTCAAATCACCACCTGAATCTTTGGCGGGGGGGGGACAAACACACAACTAATCTATAATTTGACAAATGAAAAGTGATTTGTGGTAACCGAGAAGAGAGATTGACCTGGGACGATGAAGTTAACAATCAAGTGGTCTATTGATTAAAAGAAAAAAAATCCCTTGGCAAAATATTCTCACGTGAGCGATATCTGAATGTGTGAGTTTATTTTAGTCTTTGGTTGATTAGATCAGCGGTGTGGCTGATGATGTGGTTCTTGTCAGTGTGTCGGTGACAATAATTAGGAAGTTGATAAGTTTAGGAGTGTTCAAGTATTAGGGCTTTGAGGCACCTGTTTAAAACTAATTAAGTCTGATTATATACAGGTTCAGTTTTAGTATTGTTTTAGAATATATTCACCCATGTGATGGAATGACAGTGTTACTATAAACCAACTGTTTTTTGGTTAGTCCATCTAACAAGAGCAAGGTAAGAGGAAGTGACTTCTATTTTCAGACAATCAATCCTATTGATTTATAAAGGATGAGTCATTTTTTTTTATGAAGACCCCCCCCCCCCAGTGCTTAATCAGACATAGTTTTAGTTTATTCAAATGATATGATTTTCTATTGATGTACAAACTGTTCTTTCCTGTAAATTGTTCTCATGTAAACACAAGTAGGTGTAATTTTCTCAAAGTCTGCAAAAAAAATGTGTGTATTAACAGTCCTTAAGAAGAAGAGCAAGTAAATAAATAAATATTATAAACAAGACATGGACTTGGATACAGTAAAACCTGTGGCATTCATTACATGCCTGACGGCTACAAAATCGTGGCGTTTTGATCCAGAATAACAAATTGAAAAAGGAAGATAATTGACGGAGAACATATAGAACAAATACAAATTATTTAAAAAAAGAAAAATTGATTTCCAACAGCAGATCCTGCATTTTGGAAATTATCTCTTCCAGATGTGTGTAACTCAATCATCATCTTCACCCCATGTACATAAAGAAAATACTGCAATTTAATCGTTTTAATGTGCATCTTGCCTCAAAGAAATACCATGCCACTTTAATTATTAATTATGTCCCACTATGCACTTGACATAATGTAAAGTAAACCACTGATCCTCTCATATGTTCTCTTTTCATTCTCTTGAGGGGGTAATGTAAGTAATTCCAAGAACATTTCTCACACTGTAACAAGTGCAAGTGCAAAGTAAAAATAACTAACAGCTTAACAACTTGCACGGTATTCCTTCAAGAAGAGTTTTTTTTTCATTTATTTATGGTGGAAGCAGCCTGAACACCACATTTCCTGTTTGACTGAATTCCATTCAGCAGTGTCAACACAGTGGTGGAGAGGGTCAATGCACAGCTTCACACATCCACTGTTGAAATTAAAGAACACTACAATTTCTATTTTTGTCGGCACTTTTAAATTGCTCCCACCACCACCACCACCACCATTGTGATCTTTTTAAATGGCTTTTACTTTCTTCTTAGCTCTTCAGGCCTTTGCTGTGCATCCATTCATACACCCAATGTCCATACTCTCATTCTCTCTCTCTCACTCTTTCATTCTCTCTCTGTATTTTTCAGACCACCAACCAGTGATGCAGCTGTGTGAAAAAAAAATGGAAAATGCCCATGAGATAAAACACAGTATTATCCTACTGTAGTTGTAATCATGGTTCAATTCATTTAAATAGGCTAAAAGTACATAATATTATCAGTATGAATATTTGTCCTGCAGACATGTGAGTAATAAGAATAAATCATAGTTAAGTCAGCACTTACTGTGAACTGCCGAACTTCCCCATTGTCTACCAAATGATGCTCTGTCTCTGGGGTGATGGCATAAGCCAGTCTCTGTTTCAGGATAAAGAACGAAGAGAATAAGCATTTCAAAAAGAATACTATAACTTTAATGAAAGTCAAGACAAAGCTTACTGAAGATAAAAGATTAATGTTAATATTTGAAATTGCAATAACACATTTGCCCTCACTAAGTCATAGCTCTGACTTACATCACAAAACTTTCCCGGCAGCGTGCAGAGTTTGTAGATGGCGTAGAGAGGCACCATGGACATTGAGGAAATGGCGAGACACCACCCCACCATGTTAGCCCATGGAGGAAACATGTAGGTGCCATAATTTGGAGGGTTGAATGTGGCAAAGCTCACTACCACCATGAACTATGGAAGAAAATTATTTGAATACAAAAGAATGTGGGAAACCACCAGTTTAAAATAGATTCACTGGTAATTCCAAACCTCTTAAGAGAAAATTTGTAGCAACAGTGGCAATATTTCTGTTGTGAAACCATTAGAATTAGTACATAATAAGAAGTGGTGGGTGTGTTCAATAACAAGCCATGTGTTCCAACTATCCCTAAATCACACCTCTCAGCCTCCCAGGTAACAAAATTGCAAAGATACTAGTACAAACAGGCTCAATAAAGAACTTCATTGTCAAAAGTCAAACCTTAAATCCCCTTCTCTCAAATCAAGGGTTAAAGAGATTTATTGATCCTGTCTTTTGTGGACAAGGAGTTTTTTCTATATGCATCTTTTGGCCAGAGCCACATGGTTGAGATTCTGAGTAAGAATTAGCCTTACTGTGTGTCTTCTTTTATACCAGAGATACATCAATCAGCCATAACATTATGAGCACGGATTATCTGGTTATCATGGCACCTGTCAGTGGGTGGTATATAATTAGGCAGCAAGTGGAAATGTTTTCCTCAAGTTGATGTGTTAGAAGCAGGAAAAATTGGCAGTGTGAGGATTTGAGTGACTTTGACAAGGGCCAAATTGTGATGGCAAGACAACTAGGTCAGAGCATATCCAAAACTGCAGCTCTTGTGGGTTGTTCCCGGTCTGTAGTGGTCATCAAAAGTGGTCCAAGGAAGGAAAAGTCTCAGGGTGCCCAGGTGGTTATGGCTGATCAGTGTATATTTGTGAATATGTATACTGACTTCAGGGCACAAAAGAGGAGTTATATCTTTCATGTGGTTTAGGAGCATGTGAGGAGAAACTGGAAAACTCCAGACTTGTCTGTTTGACTTAATTCTACACTTTTATCCTGCTGTCTACATGTAACTTGTCTTGGTTAAGGTTCCAATGTACAATGAAACTGTGCACAGACTCACCAGGAGGAAGCAAGGGCTGACAAACTTCCAGCACAGCCTCCAGTACAGTCCTGGTCGCTGGCCAATCATCTCCTCAATGTCATCACTGAATCGGTCTACTCCTGAAACACATGGAAATGCTTGATATTACTACCAAGACATGGTTAAATACAGCCTTTGCTAAAATTGTCAAATATACATACTCTACAGTACTGCATATTAAATTCACAGCAGGTTTGGGGGTACAGTCCTTGTTTTTGCTGCTTAATACATTTTATATTTGAGAATCTTTGGTATTGGAAATATTATAAGGTAGTAAGTGTGCATGGTCCTCATGCACAATTTTTAAATCAAAAGTTTGCAGTAAAGAAACCCATGGCACATAAGATTGTTAGTAAAAACGAAAATACAATTTACAATTCAACTATTTCCAGAAACTAAAGTTACTCTGTTACAAAGTTGCTGCACCATTTTTTACCTTATCGCATCTTTCCTTCTCTTTTATAAACCTGGCTGCACATTTTTATCTCGTGCCTTCCTGCCTGGAAGGCATCTCTCACTGCGGAGGAATATATCCAGACTGACGACCAGTTATTCAGTACAGTAAATGTACTTATGTAGTGGACAGCAGAACGAAAGACCACAGTGGCCAGGAGTCAAGGGTTCCTGTCAGCTATTATGAGGATGGGAAAAAAAGGTCGGCTGAACCCTTAGGCTTGATTTATCTGGCTTGCCAAGGTCAGGACCCACCAAAGTGGGGAAATATGCTGACCGCACCGCCTGGGGGCTGGTTAGTATTTAGCCCTTTATGGATCTCGTCACCGTCAGGTTCAGTATACATGAGACATAAAACTCAATACAGAAGTTCAGGTCAACCAGTTTCCTGACCTTTAGATTGTTTTTATAATATTTTGTGCCAGCTGGTGTTTCAGAATTGCGGTGAGTTTTTCACACTATGAAAAGTCAGTTTTTTCTTTCTTTCAGCTGGTGGTGCTGTAGGTGAAAATACTGTATATGCAAAGGTATATTTCCATCATAAAGAAGTTGGTCTTTAGCAACTAATACACCAAAACAAAAGCAAAACAAGAAGGAAGTAAGGAAGGGAGAGGACAAGAACCCAAACAGCTAACTCTACTGTAATTATTTGCAGTAATCAACACATATGGGGTTGAATTTTGAGGACCTAACAAATAACATATAGTACAAACAGGATATTTACTCTTCCTTCCATGTTGTGCTGATAAAGTGCTGGGAGAGTACAGTAAAGAATCCCCCTTGAGACATGTCATTCATGCCAGAAAACTCTTATCTAATGCAGAGATAAACAATAGTTGAGACAGATTCGGTGTGTTGGAAGAACTAAACCTAAAAAAGCATATAGTGGTGTAGAGATAGTGGCAAAACTGTGTAAAATTGAGCATCGATAGAATTTGGACATCTGGAGAGAAATTGACTTTGAGTCCCCCCCCCACTTGCCACCCACAACAATCTACAACCTAGCTATTAGACAGCTGACTCCTGTCCATGACAAATGGGAATTGCCTGTTCCCCAGCTGCAATTTGCTTTATGTGGTGGCTCACCACTGCTGAGTGAACACAGAGGTAAAAACTGGCAGCGGTCAAAACGCGGCTCATTTAACATCACCCAGTTCTTATGAGCGCTACAGTATATCCTTGTACCTTACAGAGACTGAAGAGGCCAAAACCATTAGTGGGAAGAGACCCTTTAGCTGTAGTATCCTTACGTCTAATAGAGCTGTGCTGCATTGAGGCACAGCACACCTATACCAACAGATTTCTCATCAAACCCTTAATATAGGATCAGCTTTGCTGACCATGACAACATGAATCATCTGTTTGTCCTTCCTCTTTTCACCTGTCCATCTTCCTCACCATAAAACCATGCGATGCCGATGGCTTCAATAAGCACTCCAAAGAGAATCGATGTTCCTGCTGCAAAGTGGTCCAGCAGAGTGAACACATACATCCCTCCCTGGAGAAACATAGTGAATGTATAATAACTGTGTTATTATATAAAGTTTTATCATACAGGTTACAGAGAGAAAATCATCATTGGATTACGACAGTGTTACAATCAGAGCTTGTGGGAATGATTGAATGTATATATGAAATTGCTACAGTGTAACCATAGTGCAAAGATGAATATTAACAATCAAATAAAGGCAACATGCAACAGACTGCCCAGTACGGGACTTACATTTGTAACACAGAAGAGGGATATGAGGAAGGTGGAAACAACAATGAAGAGAGTGAACAGCTCTCTGTGCTTGTGGAGGAATTTAAACTCATCAATCAGCCCTGTGATCACAGACTCCATCCCACCCATCTGCAACAGAAAAACAAGAGTCAGAATAAAACAGTAAAAGTCAGCGATAAATGAGCTGCTAAGTCGTTGTAGATGTCCAGCTTTTATTACACAATTGCTGCACTGAAGCTCCAAAAACTATATGGAAATGAAAATAGTTTGTTCCACATTATGATGGATGTCTGAAAGCTCTGGAAATTAATTACAGTACATCAGTTAAAATACGCACTGTGGATATTGTAGCAAAATCACAACCTTTCTGACACACACATAGGGAAAAGGCACACATTACCTCGCTGAAATAACAGGTGTCTATGTGAGTAAGTGTGTGTGTGTGTGTGTGTGTGTGTGTGTGTGTGTGTGTGTGTGTGTGTGTGTGTGTGTGTGTGTGTGTGTGGATGGATACTCACCGCACTGTCAATGCCCAGTGTCAACAGCATGATGAAGAAGATAACCGCCCACACTGATGACCCAGGTAATGTTGCAATGGCTTCTGGGTAAATAACAAACACCAAACCAGCACCTAAAGAACAAGAAATTCAAGAGATTAAGGTAGATTTTAGACATAACATCAGCCTCCAAAATAGATTGCTAAAAAGCAAAACAAATGGTTAAAGAGCAGATATAACATACTTGTTATAATAAAAGAATCAGGGGAATAAAGTCTGGTACACCGGAGGGGAGTTTGTGCAACATGTTTCATTTTAATCGACCTGTGAGCAACCCAGTTCCGCGAACCGCATTGGTGGCATTTGAATCCAGTCATTGGGTTCATGAGGGTTTCTTCATTGATGACAGTCCTGGCAACTAAAGATAGCTCATCTTAAATATCGTTGACTCTTGGAATAATCAAATAATACGCATTATCCTGCTTCTACTGAGCTGTTTGCAGTGTCATTTAATAGCACCCATCATGGAATAACTCTAGAAGTAGCCTGCTGTGGGTTACCTGGCATTAACAACCTATCAATATATACCTTCCACTCTCTTATTTCACACACCACATTACTGACATGTGAGGAGAACACACAACAGGTTAGACACATAGTCAAATATGCAAAGTGCACTAACAAACAGTATCAGTGAGCTCAAGGAAATCCACGCCAACACACCAACACCACATTACAAGGAGAGACAAATAATACCATACCATCTCTGGCAACTTTGTCCAGGGCTACGTTGTGCTTGTAGGACATGTACCCAAGGAAGGAGAAGACCACAAAGCCGGAGAAGAAACTGGTCAAAGAGTTGATGGAGGTGGTGATGATGGCGTCTCTGGATCAATAAAAACAAATAGGATGAAAAAACAACAGTGCAGGATGGGAATGTAAAACATCATCATCGTCAGTCATCAGCCATCACACAGTCAATATCAACATAATTGACGAGCCAGTCAAGTGAAGAGTATTTAAGGCCTGTACCCTCTTAAGAATGCTAGCTTGCTGTAATGAGTCTGGGTTGCAGATCAGTTTAGAGATCCTTGATAAATGTTATGGATTAGTCAGGTAGTCAATGTTGGTCATCAGTAGTTTGTATAGTTTAACCTCCCTCAGTTGCAAAAGAGAAATTTAATTTAAATCAACAAATAAATTAGTTGGTCAGTGGTGAACAGGGGTAGGACCCTGGTGTGTGAAAGTGTGCAAAAGTGAAATAAGGTGAATAAATGTACACATGCAGCAACAGTGTCCCACAAAAATGGCATTACCATCACAGTCACTACTTTTAAAAGACAAGACATATTTTGGAAATTTACTTAAATATATTTGCAGTGATGCTCAAGGAGGAATCCTCAAGGTGGACAGTGTCATGTGTCAGTTATCAGAGGCATTAAAAAAAAGAAGATAAAAGCCTCCTGCGGGATGCTGATGATTTTCAAAGAGTGCGACAGTTTTGATTGGTGTTTCGGCTGTCTGTTGCACAGCATGGTGTCAAAGACATAGCGGGTTTCAAGGAGCTTCAAAGGTTATTGTAATTCACCTGCTCATGTTGCGTGCATGAGTTTGTGCGTGTGTGTGTGTCGAAGCAACTCCCTGTCCTCCATTTGTCTCCGTGAATTCCCCCCACTCCTCTCCGTGTGTGTTTTTACCTGTAACAGTTGTTGCTGAATTTGTTGTAGCTGGAAAAGGCAATTAGCACACCAAACCCCACTCCCAGAGAGAAACAGATCTGTGTCGCTGCCTCTATCCAGACCTGGGGAGCGACAGAACAAGCACACTTGTGTGAAGCGGCAAACAAAAGGCACAGGAGAGGAAAAAAGCCATTATTAGGGATAATTGCAGGAAACTCATTCAACGGCAGTAGATGAAAGACGCTAGTGAATACGGGGGGTAATTTTGCAAATTACTGCTCCATGCATCTATCTAATCTAATTCTCCAATTGCTGCCATGCATCTCTGTATCTCTCTCCTTCTTGCGTTCTCTCTCATTCTCCATAACTGAGTCCTTTAGTGTTGCATTCTCACTTATTGAGCCTGCTATTAAGATACTGTTAGATGTGATAGTGGGTTTCACAGATTAAGAATAATATTAGAAACAGTGTACACAAACAACTTTTCTCACATTATTTTTATGCCTTGAGGAAATGCCTCACTAACGTTACTTAACAATGTGAACCAATGTTGTGTTTGACAGGTAATATCAGATGATATGCATTAACCAGACAGTTAATGTGTAAATTGAGTTCACAAGAATAGGCCCTCATTGAAAATGAGAGATGATACATTTTTCCAGGAAAGAAAGGAAATTGTTGTGTAGTGTGTGTGTGTGTGTGTGTGTGTGTGTGTGTGTGTGTGTGTGTGTGTGTGTGTGTGTGTGTGTGTGTGTGTGTGTGTGTGTGTGTGTGTGTGTAAGTTGTCTACTCTTTCACATCCCTTGTCCTGCCTTTTAAATTAATTTACTATTTTCTTACAGTTCTCCATTCCTATGCTTTTTTTGTTTATTTTTTTGTTCTGGGCTCACTGTTACGGTTACAGTTTACCAAATATGGGAAATTGAACACTCATTACACTACTGCACAATCAGCATTGAAAATAGCAATATTGCCGTGGTTCCTCTTTAGCAGTAAAACCTGGTGCAAAGCCTTGCAAAGGCCTTACCACAGGTTGTTATCTGCTTACAATGAAGATTTTTTTCAATTGTTTTCAATCACAAGTGAAAAAAAATTGTCATATAGATTTTATAATGATTTAGACAAAACATACTGTAAAATCTACCGTCCATCACTGTGAATACTGTCACTTGTCACTTTTAGAAATTTCAAAACAATTAGTTAACCTATTGCATGCTTTCTTTTGCTGTTAGGGTTAGTCTAAGTGTAAGACTACCATAGCACATTAGCATGATATAGTTAGCCAAATATGTTTCAAGATACAAGCAAAGTATTTTTCTAATTATGATTTGTGATATTGGGCTACAGTATAAAAATACAATTGACTTCACTTTTATTGCAACCCACTGTTTTCACATCAGGTTTCTAATGTAAGATAAATAAAAATAAAAATAAACTTCAAATATCAAAGCTTTCCTTTAGAATGTCATTCTTCTGCACCCCCAACCTTCCCCATCACCTCTTCCGTGTCTCCCCTCTCTTCTGTCGAAACTCACCTTGGGGTCACAGAGTCTCAGGAAGTCCACAGAGAGGTAGGCCTTAATGCCATCGATGGCTCCGGGCAGAGTGACTCCGCGGAGCAACAGCACAGTCAAGACCACATAGGGCATTGTGGCTGTGATCCACACAACCTGAAAGGGTTGCACAAGGTACACGCACATACACATACACAATACGCACACATTTACACAGACAATGGATGAAGTGCATGGACACATTTATATACACACAAACATTGACCTTAAACTGCTTAGTGGATTTAAACTGGCCTAGAATATGCAACATTTTCTTCATGCATATATCCTAAAGTAATTCTATAGCTTATGGCTCACTTAAAGGTCCAGTGTGTAACATTTAGGAGGACCTATTAGGAGAAATGGAATCTAATATTATAACATAATATTATAACATATAGGTATGTTTTCATTTGTATATCCCCTGAAAATAAGAATTGTTGTGTTTTTGTTTCCTTAGGATGAGCTATTTGTGTTTACAGACACCGCTGGTCCCCTTCTGTGGTGGCCGCCATGTTGAACCACCATATTTGACACATAACAGACAAATCAAAAACTCACACCTGGTGGGATAGGGCCATTCATATTATTTGTGCATCTTTGAGGCGACTGTGGTTTCTCCGTTACGCTTGGAAAGAATGAGTTGCAATCTGCCTCTACACCACTAGATGTAAATCCTACACACTGGACCTTTAAAGATTCTTGAGTAGGAATAATGGTACTGTAGAACTGTGTCATTTCCTACCTTGCCAGAGGTCTTGACTCCCTTCCACAGACTGAAGTAGAGAAGAACAATGACTACAGCTAGACAGGAAGTCAACTGCCAGCGTGGACGGCCCAGATCATTGATACCATTACTGTCCTGGATGTGGAGCACCCCTCGCCTAAGGAAAGACAGTATTCTGGTCAGAACCACGACCACTCGTGAGTCACCGTTTATAGTGTATGTATTTATATTTATCAATCAATCAGATTTTATTTGTATAGCACTTTTCATACAAGCAAACTATTACACAAAGTGCTTCAGTAGGGTATTGGGTACCAACAGTTTCCCTATTGCACTGTACTACAATAAAGGGATTATAGTATGCACATGCAATAGTAAGTGTTTCTTAAAGTAAGTGAACTACAAGGGTAAACTATGATGACACAAAGCTCAATTAATCTATTAAAGTTCTGAAAATGTGTTTTTACCAGAAAACCATCCAATGTATTCTCATTTTAGCAACCTTTAGAAACACACAACCTCCTGGCCTTGAACCAAGACATGTTTTAAAGCCTGCCAAGCTGGAGGACAGTAGTACAGCTCTTGACATAGTGACCAAGCCAGAGAAGAAGGTAGAAAAGGGCAAGTATTACCTAACTGCATCTTAGAGTCCTGCAGAGCTGCACTTTGAGCTCACCTCACCAAGCAATATTTCTAGGTTACCCTGAATGAACTTATTCTAGATGTAACACTGGATGCATTCAGGATCTATATGGCTAGTTTCTAGCAAATTACAATAACCACGCAGAGATATCTGCAGCCCACCCGAATGTCATTATTATTCAGTTGAGCTATACACCTGGATCTTGGAAGCTGAGTACCTGGGGTTCATGAGTGACAAGAGACATTTAAGACCCCAGGAAATCTGGCTTCATGAAGTGTTGCTACATCTGTTGCAAACTTTTGCATTTTAGTAAATCAAAACAATCACGACAGCCGGTCAAGATGGGAAAACCAGATTGACCATTAAAGGTTTAGATTTGAAAGTGTATTTTTATGTTGCATTCTTTAAAGTTGAAGTTGAACATGTGTCACCTGAATGACTATAATATCACTGATGGCTGACACCTTAATTCAGATCATTTCAGAGACTAAGATGAGACCGAATAAGATCAGCCAGCGTTCCACTGATGTGGTCAAATTGTCTGCAGGTGGTTCTGTGTGAATAGCACACTGCCATTTCAACTAGCATGGATGAAAAGCCTCAACTGTCACAACAGAACAACCCCTCACTTGCTGCAACAGGAGACACCTGGTCAGCTAAATGCAGCCAGACTCCAGATCCATTTTGAGGAAAATATTTATGATGTTCACTTTTAAATATTTTATTTTATGATTTATAATTAGATATTCTAAGACATTACTATGTCTAGACAAAGGCCTGAGAGTAATTACAGTAACTTCAGTTATTCTTTAGAGAGTGTGTCCAGCCAACTCCACCATTACATGGCAAGAGTGCATTGCATCAAACTTTTTTTCTTGTGCCTGCAGTGGAAATGTGTGGGTGATAAAACTGAAACTCAGCCAAAGAATGTTTTAGTCTTTCTAAATAAATTGTAATGCGCATTAAAATTTATAGACAGGCAGTTAGACTTACAAAATAGCCATATTGTTGTACGGTTGGGCTTTTTTTCCCCAATTAGAACTAACTACATAGAACAAATATGAATAAATAAATGTTAGAGCCTCAAGGCCAACTTACTCAAAGTACTCCTGAGCAGGGGTGGACTTGTAAATGTCACTGACTGAGCTGTTGTCAGCCCAGTCAGAGCAGTTAGGACTGTTCCAAGTGTTGTTGCAGTGGACCCACGGTAGCTCGCTGGTAAACGAGGAGAAGAGGTAGAACAGTGCCCAGGAGATGATGACATTATAGTAGAAACCAACGTAGAGGGAAATGAGGATCACTGTAAAGCCTACGCCTGTTAGGGGGACACAAATGATTAATATTTATACACATTAATGACAGAGATACAAACACAGAAGGGGGGGGGTTAACTATGTGCACAGATTAGCACCTGAGATAATGGAAAGGGCACCTCAGTAGAGTCCATCATCCCACATGCCCATCAGTGCCTTAGCCCTTCTACGTTGTTCCTGAATTACTGCTTTTCATTACTGACTTCCATGGCTGCAAATATTGTCCAGTATTGAAAGTAACTATGCACACATACTTCTACTTTACTTGAGTATTTCTATTTTCTGTCACTTTATACTTCATTTAAGAGGGGCATATAAATTCTGGTTACTTTTCAGATTAAGATGTTGCATAAATAAACATAAAATGAGCTCATGCAATATAATGCATTGTTAAAGACTGAACCAGTGGTTCCCAATCTTTTTGCCTCATAACCCATTCCAAAAAAGCAGTGGCTCTCTCTCTTTCTGTCTCTGAATTTCATCTTTCATCTTTCTACTGTCGACCATCAGACAAAGGCATAAAAGGCCTGTGAAAAAACATATAATTATTAACTTTAGATAAAGTTAGATTCAAATAACTTTTAAGGCCCAAAAGGGTAAAATTATCCAATGTTTTACTAAATGAAATTAGAGAAAAGTCAAAATATGAATACATGAATACAAATTTATGTCGCACAAATTACATTTTTCCTGTTATGACTCTTTATCTTGTGACCCTTTGGGCTTTCCATGTCCTACAGTGCTATCGATCTGCATATAAAGTAGTTCACTGATACCTCAGTAACACTCATAATGTAATATATGATAATAAATGAGTCAAAGGGAGGATGTTCTGGCAGAATACTTTTTTCCACCAGTGAATATGTCCAGGTGGGAGGATGCACATAAAACACAATTGAAAAAGCATATCAAATTATTATTGTATATCTTGTTTTAGTAAATGCAGCAGATCAGATTATTGTCTTGCTTATGGGACCAAACCTCTGACTTCTCTTGGGTGGTGACTGACATCACAGTCACATTTTCACACTTTGATGCATACTGTAGGCTGTTATCATGCACCATACAGTGATGTGCTGATATATGCGCTCTCACCTGTCTTTAAATTGCAAGAATGTTTAAAAAGATTGTGAATCAGGTGAAAACAGTTCCAAACTTAGGCATTGCTTTACTAAACAGTGGCACTCTGACATTCAACCACCTTGAAGCACAATCTCTTGCTCAGTATGAGTACAGTAGCCTATGATACATGCCTGCGGTCTCACAGTAATCACTACAACTTCTGAAGATCCTCTTCACGCCTTAATTATCAACACATCTGCCCTTTCTATAAACCTGAAACAATGTCCACTCTTCTAAGGCTGAATTTAATTGTTAACCTTTGCTAAGAGGCATGACCACAACTATGCCTTATCGATTCCTTTGTAATGTGGATGTGATATTTGTCCAGGGAGCAATGCCTCTTATTAGCGCCACATGCGGCCATGTTATCTCTCCATCTCCCTCCGTCTCCCTTTCTCAGTCATTTTTCTTCAAACGCATTGATCCCGAGAGGAAACCAGCTTGTTGATCAGAATAATTACTGTCAATATGGGCATGTGTATGTGTGTATTTGAATAATTACTGTTATCCCCCCGCTGAGAGACAGAGAGAGAGTGAAGCGTGTGATTAGAACGTCAACCTACTCAGTGTGTGGTCCCTGACAGACGGCGCGTGTTCACACACAGGAGGCACACGCTCAGAGACACACACAGAAAAACACACGAAGGAACACGTACACACTGTGGGCCACCTTCAGACCAACAAGGACATGATGTAACAAAAGACAGCGGTATGGCATCATACTGTGAAGCAACAGATGGTCTGCTGGTAATAATGGTATTTGAGGTTGTATTTCTGTTGCATCTTTGGATTCATAGTGAGGTGTTAAATATGGATTTAAGTACAACTATAACTTTTTTTTTAAATAATGAAAATTACAAATAAATTTATATCAGAGCAGGACATACTGTGCAAAGTCAGAGATGGATAAATACACACACGTCACAAGCTTGTAAACTGCATACAAAGTTGAACCAAGCAAAGTGTGTTATTATATTTTCAACACTGACTTTGCTCAAAAACACGAATCGTTCTTAATGTTTGTTTCCCCCATTAGTGCACGTTCGGATGGCATTCTCCTCAAATGCGCTTTGCTTATCGATGTGTTGAAAAGTACCACTAGAGAGTGTCAGCCAGTGTTTCCACGCCACTACTTGACAGAAGGATTTGGACAATCAGGACAAAAGTCTAAAAGCCCAATTTTCATTTGCTTTCCATCTCAGTGCCAACAGAACCTGATGTTCTGGGGAGGATAAACAATGCCTGTCGCTGCTCAACGCAAAGACAAGCAGACAAAAGAGACTGGCATGTGGACAGACAGGCATGTGGGCAGACAAGCAGACAGAAAGACATGTAAATATTAGAGAGGGTATATCAGACAGACAGGCATGTAGGCCGACGGACATACCATGACAGGCAGATTTAATACACATGTGCAAGCATTCAAACATGCAGGTGTCAACAAAGGGTAATTTCCATGCGTACCTCCTCCAGTGTGGGCATGTGTCTGTCTGTCTGTCTGTCTGTCTGTCTGTCTGTCTGTATATCTGAATATGTGTCTGTAGTATGTCGTGTTACTTCCTACCTTTAAATATGGGGCAGATCTTCCAGACCCCTGCTGCCCCCTCTCTGTTATACTGTCCCAGAGCCAGCTCCATGTAGAAGAGAGGCATGCCTGCTATCACCATGAAGAACAGGTATGGCACCAGGAATGCACCTGCACACACAGAGAAAGGTAAGACTTCCCCTCTAGATTAAAGGTTACACTACAAAATGTTATACAAATGCATTTCAGGAGAGAATAAAAAGTCATATCCATTACAAAGTTGCCTTTTTGTAATTAAATAGTACTTTGTAAATGATATTTGTTTAATTTTGAGCATAATTATGCAAACCGAACCAACAAAAAATGGGTGACAACATTCATCGTCTATCAGCTGATGCCCCACCCACATAAAATGTTTTAATTGGTTTCATTCTCTTAATATACACCAAATACAAACCATTACATGGTTTATGCAAAGAGCCCACTGAGGAGAAACTCCAAGCAGGGGGGAGTCACCTTTCTTTGCATTACTACACCCTGTTAAACATCCTCTGTGAAATTGGCCAGGTTCTTTTTTAGATTATGTGTAACAGCCGATGCAAGGTTTATGGAAATATTATAATCTGCCACAAATGATTGGATTACATAGTGCTGGTACCGTCACAGAGGAGGGAATATAGTGATTATCAACAATAGTTTGGGTTTGGGGCATCACAGTGGCTTAGGGGTTAAGACGGCAACCACAAACCACATCATCCCTGGTTTTCAACTGGTCATTGAACCTTTGTTGCGTGTCGTTTCTCATGTCTCTCCCTTCAGATTTTTTGTCATCCCTCTATCCCCCAAAATAATGTAAAAATATTATATAATTTTGATTAATTGCCTCAATATTTCCCCTAAATACAGTTATGACATCATGTAGAATTTGGGGACATACAGTCAGCCTTGACTATGGCTACAGTATCATTTACAGCTCTTAAACGTAATGAGAGCTCTATGTTAAACAGCCGTAATTAGTGGCAGTGATTGTTAGAGCTAATCTATTCGGAGCAGCTGTGGTGGTTTTTCCCCTATTTTGATCTCTGTAAAGGCTTAAAAAAAATCTCAAACAACAACCAGCGAGAACAAGGAGCTGAAACACACGCACACGCAAATCTGCATACATGGGCAAATAATCTGTGCATGCACATGCATGCGCAAGCAGTACACACAGGTGAAAATATACAGTATACAAGTGTGTGTGAATGATTTTCACCTTCATTTCACCTTTTCCTCTCCTTTCTTTCTATATTTCACTATATTTTCACCATCAACCCTTCAGTTCCTTCCTTCAGTACTCTCATAGGAGAGGGGGATGATCTTATTCTCTCACATGAAGTACACCTCCTTCTTTCACGTACTTACTCTGGTAGGGGACCTTTTAGACATGACACAACATCACCTTTACCCCTCCCTCCTTTAACACATCTCACCTCCTCCATTCTTATAGCAAAGGTAGGGGAATCTCCAGACATTGGCGAGGTCCACGGCGAACCCGATCACAGACAGGAGGAAGTCGATTTTCTTCCCCCAGGTCTCCCTCTCCTCCTCCCCACTGGGGTGGGTCTGAGTAGGGGTTGGAGCCACTAAGGTGGTCGAGGTGAACTGAACCCCATTCTGCTCCTTCACCAGGATCAGCTCCACCTAAAATAGAGCAGACAGATCACATTTACATGTACAAGCATGTGTATGTGATTTAATGACTCTCTTTTAATCTCATCCTCATGTTATAATTCTCTCACTTCCCACACATGGCAGACAGTGACAGTCACCCTCATTTCATCAATGCTTCATGCACCATAATGAGAGTAATATTTATCATACTTATAGGGAGTAATAACGTGAATTGTTAATGGTGCAAATTAAGCACATTTTAACTTCCAGAAAATGTGGCTTTCGTCACCATTATGGCAACCACTCAATTTTAAGTGGGTCTGCATAAACAGACCAAGTCAGAGAGAAATGCACTTAATTAAAGCACTTGCAGCGTACAGTGATCCAGTTAGGTTTTCTTTGATTGAACTGCGTGCCATTAATCCACTACAATTGTGTCTACTGTCTAATCTGCACTGACCTCTTTGGGGCCCATGGTGTTGGAGGTGGGCTTTTCTGGGGCTACAACTGAGGACATCAGGCCAACAGGGACTCTCTCCGTCAGCATGGAGGGGTGCACAGCCTTCAGGAGCGAAACGCTGGTGGTTGTAGAAGAGGAAGGAGGGTGCAGCTCGAGAGCCTTGAGTGCAGATTAAGAAAAACACAAGATGGAACTTTATTATTCCCCGTCTGGGAAATTGGGTTAGCACTGCAAAAGTTACAGGGTTCAACACAACAGTCAGAGAAAAAAAATTCTGCAATAAAAAAAAAAAAAAAAACCTTAAAAAAAGGAAAGCAAATAAACATGAAAAATGATGGTGTTTTATAAAAATGTTGATGAAACTGTAGGGAGGGATATATTTTATTAATTTCAAGCTTTAGAGTGGAGAGGGAGAAAAGCAACAGAGAGTGCTAGGATCCAGGCTGAGGGCGTGGGGCCATCACAGCGTGCTCATTTCATATTACACTTGTTGATCGCCATTTTGCTCACAGAGTTGGCCCAGTGTCCGCTAACCCTGTCTCACCACAACATGTTGTCCACAAGATTTAGCAACTGATTTCTGTTTGGAGCTTGTCACTAAAATTATGTTTATTGAAAAAAATATATCAGTATTAGGCCCAGTTTATTTCTTAAATATAAGAAAGTGATCATAAAAAATATATATATTCAAATGTTCTACAAAAAGAAAATGTACAGAATTATGTCATAAAATAGAGCTGTTTTGATTTTTTTAGAGAATTGAAAACATGTGAATATTAAACCAATGTAACAACCCAATCTTTCCAGCTATCATATCACCATTTAATCCTTTGTTATTTCACTAAACTGCTAAAAAATTTGCCAAATGTAATCAGTGATACTGTATATTTTCTGTCACCATATAAAAACAGAGGTATATAGGTTACGGCAAAATTCTGTATTATTACTGATAAAATTACTTTTTAAATATGCAACACATTACTAAACTAGAAACATTTTGCAGGAAACAAAACACTCACCTTTGAGAAATGAAAGGTGAAAGCTCCTCCAGTTGTCAGTTTGGACAATTTAATTCCAGTTGTGCTGATGTTTTTCAGTGTGCTGCAAACTGATGCTGACCATATTTACTCAAACCGTCCTTGATAAGTTAGACCCAGAGTGAAGCAAAAATGTTTAGGGACATAAAAAGAGTAAATGAGTAAGATATAGAGTAACAATAAGACAGGAGATAAGGAAAAACACAGGGAAAGATGAAAGATGACAGGAACTGGTAGTCTATGAGTTGGAGAACGCCCTCCCACCCTCTTTGGCTCCTGTGACAGACACACAGAGCCCAGAGTACCCTGTGGTCTGGTATGGAGATCTGTCTGCGATACCACTCTTGTATGAGAAAAAAATCAACACCCCCCCCCATTTCCGTCACTCTCCTCCCTCCCTCCTCACCCGAGCTTCATCTGTTCCTCCTCCTCTTTCTCCCATCATTGCATATTTTCTCACCTGATTGAAGCATTTTCCTGGACGACTTTTCTTCTGTGTGAATCTGTGCGGTAACACACAAACATAAAGAAACAAATATTTCAACATGTACACACAGATACAATGAGATGCCTTGTCAGTGTAATATTTAAAATGTTTTGTCATCCCCTATCATCACTTAAATAAATAGACAGCAAGTTGTCTATAAAGTAAGCACATTATGGATCTTTCTTGATCCAAGGATATGACCGCTGTGGCATAAACATTAAGTTAGTTGGCTAGTTAATACCTCCAGTATTATCTGTTCTTCATTAGACTGTGGTATATTCATAACAAAAAGACCAATGGAAGGCATTCACAACATGATATAATGTGAAAATCCGCCAGGTAATACTTTTTTATAGAAATCGTGTAGAATTAGTCTCTCGAGGGATGCAATGTTTTAACAATGCAAACTGGCAATATCAGACTTGGGGGGTTTAGGGTTAGGATTAGGGGCGTTATTGTCTAAGATTAGTCTAACAGGGAAGAAAAAGCCAGGAGTCCAAATTTTATCCCATTTATTATTTTATACATGTGGGTGGTACAGTGGGACAGTTGTAGCTAAATCTTATTTTGTTATCATGTTAAAGTGACTCTCTCAACAAATAATGAAAGCAGTAAGATGCTGTTGGTGATGGTTATGTCTTCAGCCATAAATGCTGTGAGAAAAGATGTGAAAACTAGAACCCTGAAAACTTGTCTGACATCTGAAGTTTTTCTAAAATATATTAAATATTTTAGTCTTTTTGGGGGGGTCATTTCCTTATTGATAGGACAGCAGAGAGAAACAGGAAAGAGAGGGGGAGAGAGAGACGATGATATGCAGCAAAGGGCGCCGTGCAGGACCCAGCCCAGGCACATGGCACACATTCCCACTGAGCCACACAGGCACCCCCAAGTTAAAGGCAAAGTATAAAGATAATAATTTTCAACAGTAAAAAATGTACAGTGTCAGTGTCCTGGCAACACAACATCAGTTATCAGATTCTGATTCCTGATTGGCTCACGGGAGCAAGCGATATCAACTTCTTTCAACTCAGCCCCGCCCACTTCAAACCACTGAGAAAGCTCTTGTTTGAAGTAGCAGAAACTGAACAGAATTTTGTGTTCAGGGTGGACCCCACCGCTCACAGTAGCACTGATAGAGACAATACGTTATCAGGGCCTTTAAATACACTTTATAAAACATTAAAGTTCCTCCCTGCCACTCTCCGTGACACCAGTTGCCGTTTTTCTTTTCCTCTCTTTTTGCTCCACCCTTCAATAGACCCCAGTGGCCCCGCCCATCCACCCACCCACCCTTGTCAATAGGCAGAAATCTCATTACCTATAATGTCTGACAGGCCTAAACACAATCAGCTCTGACACCCAGACCTCTCCCATTTCAAACTCAACCAAAACAGGAGCGGTGCATTAAATAACACAATCAGCCGGTTCCCCACGGACAGATTTATGACCTTCGTGTCCACAATGACAGCTTGTTGTTTGCAAGCCAATCGCAATGATCAATCGGCCACTAATCCACAATACTAACACCGCCGGCACCGCAACGCACACACCTTTAAAGTGCAATCATCCATCAAGCCTCAGGGCTCATATCAGAAATTGTTGGGTCGATGTTGGCCGCGCTGGATGTGTGAGGTTTCTGATGGAGCACGGACAACGATGAGGTGAACATAATCGAGTGTCTTGTTTCCATAAACACAACAGCTGAGACCCACAGAGAAGAAGGGCGCAGAGGAGGAGGGGAAAGAGCAGGAGAAGGGTGAGGCAGAGGAGGAAGAGGGATAAGGAGAGGGCTGAGGAATGGTGTGAGGAGAAATTTAGGGGAAGTTTATTGTTTATTGTACAAATCATGTAATCTTGGGTTTTAAGAATCATCTGATTTGCTCTGTTCAAGCTTTTATATCTGGATCTTAAACACAGACTTCCATTTCACCTGCTGAGAAACACAGTGGGGACTCTTGATGAGAACTCGTTCAGCAGACTAATAAATGATGCATAATAAGATCTGCAAGAGAGAATAGTTCTTGATTAAAAGAAACATTTCATTAGTAAGTAATCACTTTAAACATTCCACTTTACTGTGTGTGGAGTTAATGAGAAAACGCCACGGGCTCTTTTTTTGAAGTTGCGTACCGAGAATGAGAGCAGCTAAAGCCTTGTTACACACATACACTGGTGAGGCGGCTGTATGAAGCAGTGCTCTGGGCTAAACGCTAACGCTGGCATGCTCACAATGACGACGCTAACGTGCAGATTTTTAGCAGGTGTGCCAAGTTCACCACCATCTTAGTTTAGTGTGTTAGCATGCTGACATTGGTTAATTATCACTAAATTCAAAGTAGCTGAGGTTGATGGGAATATTTTATTTTGCAGGTCCAAAGAATAAGACACTTTAAAATGTGGAATGAGGAAGCGCTACTGGATCAAAGTTACTACATTTCATCCTCAGGGGGGATATGGAGGCTAATTTCATAGCAATCCACTCAAAGCCACCACCCACTTGTGGTGCTAGAGATGACCGAAGTTGTTTATATTGTCTGGATGTTTCACAGGGGGAGTGAATCCTTTGACTGGCTTGTGACACCTGAGGAAAAGTCAGGGGATCATTAGGATGCATTCTCGGTTCATCATGAATGTCTGCACACAATTTCATGACCAAGCCACGCAACTTTGGCATGGCTAGTTAAAAGTTCAGAATATTATGCCATTATGTCACTGTCATAAAAAAAAATCCCCCCAAAAATTCCACACACTGGCTTTCTGCAAGAAAGTGATCAACATCAATGAAAGCAAAGACTGGCCTAGTAAAGGGGAGCTTAAATAAATTCAATTTGCGGGTCCACATCATATATCATAGACAGTCAATTCCTGCTGCCAGGGTCTTGCTACTTCTACTTGCACCATGCATCTCCTGAAATAGAAATGATGTGCAATAGAGCTATTTGACAAATATAGTAACTTCAATACAGTATAGCTGTATACACTCGACTGCACAGCCACAATGTTACCTCAAGAGGGAGACATTTATACAATAAGCCAGAAGGTTACTGTAGACCTGCTAACAGAAAGGCATATCTCTGTAACAGCGAACCTGACATCAACATCACTCTCTCCTTAAGAGCTTGAGAGGATGAAGAAAGATCAGTTGTGATATATATGGATATGCAGTCTTTTGGCCATCACTGTCAGTCAATACATTTCAACTCAGTGTGGCTCAGAGTGCTTTAAGTTAAAGTCTAAGTAACATTACACTTTGACCAAGATGCAAAAATAAGAATTTCCTTGCCATGTTGTGGTAGAACTCGTCATACAACACACTAACACAATATCAAGCTACCAAACACACACACATAATCAATTATACCATTGCGACAGAACTGTGTGTTAACGTTTCTTTTTTTAATTCAATCCAAGAGTCACATTAACAAGTTACATCATAGTAGTCCTGAACAGACAAATTCAAAGTAGCTTGCAGTCATGACTCTTCATAATCAAAATGCATTAACAAAATAAAACCTGTTGAGTATAGAAAAAGACAGGAAGTAAAGCTACAGAGAAACAGAGTTCAGTTTCTTGGTCCACAGACAATAAGCCATCAGAAAGACACTATCGCTCTGTCAGAGTACACAAGTCTTTCGTCTTAGGCTCATTACGGGACAAACTGTGGTAAGCAGGCAGCAGTAGCATAAATACAAGTTCATCTCTTGCAGGTTTACATTTTCTCAGATTGACAGCAAGTATAAAAATGAGAGTGACCTCTATTGAGGTATTTGAAATAAAGGGGAGTGAAACAAGTGTGAAAAAGAAATGGACCCAGTATTTTTATACAGCCCCAATGCGGAATTGTTCTGAATGTAAATATTGAATATATATCTATATCTATATCTATAGATATAGATATATATCTATATATAGATATATATAAATAAATGCACATATTTGACTTGCTGATGAAATATAATATCATCCTTCAGATGTTCAAATGGAAATCTGTTTAAAATAAATAAACACCGTTGCATGTGGGGTTGCTGTGGCATAATACATTTCATTCTAGGTCAGGTCTTGAATATTAATTCTTTGTTTCAGTTGTAATTCACAATCATATTCCCCACCTATGTACAAAAACAGTATGGTTTCCCTCATACATACAGACTGAATTGTATAGTTAACCACCTGCTGTAAAAATCACATCACTTAGGATTACATTTAATACTTATCCATTCCACGGTACAATTCAAATCTGTATGTTGTTGCCAAGTCCTACGAGTTTACAAAGTCATTTCAAGCTACAAAATTTCCACAATCCTGAGACAAAGCAGAAAAGTAGGTCTAAAAAGTGGGTTTAAACTAATTCTTACAGTATGAAACAAAATTTAGAGCGGTCAGCCTCCTTTAATGTGTGATCCCTAACTTCCTCTGTGCTCCCATTATTGCAGCAAGTATATGAAAGCAAAAACTGTTCATATTAACAAAATGGAGCTGCAATACTGACCCTACAAACTTACCATGCTTTAAAGCAATGTGACATTTCTTTACAGAAATAAAGAAAATAATCTAAAGTGCGAGCACAAATACATACAATTTAAAAGCAGTAAGGGGGAAATACTAAAGGATTGTGATTGAACGTGTTATTTTATGTGTGTGTGTGTGTGTGTGTGTGTGTACAGTCTACAGTGTTTGTGCAATTGCGGCCCGTCATGTGGTGGCAGACATCACCTCAAGGCCCGACACACTCACAATTTCAACCTGCACTGCTTAAACATAAAAAAAAGTCAATGGAGAGAGGGTTCAAACAGGATAAAAAGTGTACATTTGAAAACCATGATTGCTTCGGAAAATGTC